TTTTTTGTATTTTTAGTAGAGACGGGGTTTCACCACTGTTGACCAGGATGGTCTCGATCTCTTGACCTCGTGATCCACCCACCTCAGCCTCCCAAAGTGCTGGGATTACAGGCTTGAGCCACCGCGCCCGGCTTAAACTTTTAAATAGAAAGTCGGCAAGCACAACATCTGTTAAACTTTCATTGAGGGGCTACTCCATGTAATGGAGTATTGACACTTGGCGTTTTGGGGCTACAGTAATAAGTCAACCCAATGCAGACTCAGCCTTCAAAGGACTCCATACTCCTGAAAAGTGAGGGAGGTGAGGAGGTGAGGAGACGCCTGGCTAAGGGAGGAGCATGTGGAAAAGTCCAAAGGGAAACATTTGGGGCATGACCAGCTCTAGTTGGCTGGTCATGGCATAGAATACATTGAGGAATGGCAGATAATGTCGAGAAAGCCAGCTAAAGTTTTATTGTGGTGCGACTTGAGAATCTAGCCAAGGAGTGTGTGTGTGTTAGACAACCTCCAAAGGTTATGAGAATATCATTAGAGCCGTGCTTCTTTGCCAATCCCAGGCCCTCAAATCCACGCTAAGGGATAAGAGTGTCTTTCAGATAGGCTGTCCAGCAGGCTGACCAAATGTCTGCTGAGCCGATGGCCCTAACTCGCTTTCTTCCTCACTGCTGAGAGAGCTATGCTTAGATTTGGGCTTACATCTAGACTAAAAAAGCTAAGTATAATTTGGGTGTGTCATACAAAAAAGTGAAGAATATTATACACAAAATGCATCCTAAAGGATTAAAGAGTCAAGTATAAAAATTAAACATAACAATGAGAAAATCTGAATTGATATTTATCAAATTTCTCAAAGGAAACAAACATATCAAGTTTAAAGAAAATTAAAGAAGTCAAGGGAAAAATATTATGTTAATTTTTCTATAGAAATGGAAAATCTACAGATTTTAAACAATAGCTTAAAAGGAAAACTGAGTATTAGCAACAAATTTCTAACTAAATGGTTTCATAGACTTAATATATAGAATTCACCAAGATCAATTTTTTAAAATTCTCCCCCAAACATAAATGGACAGAGAATATGACTTGACAGTTCACGAGGAAAAATAAGCAAAAAGAAATTTTAATGTTTAATGTTATTAGTAACCTCAAGAATTGCCAATTAAAATAACACCCTATTTTAATCCATCACCGAGTGAGCACTTCCATACAGTGCTTGCAGGGCTGTTAACTGGTATCAGTTTTCCCCCTCCCCCATTATTATATTTTCCAAAATTTTACTGAAAACATCATTTCAAGAAATCTCTAGTGAACTCCTAAATCACCAAGTCAATCTTGCTGTCTAGCCTCCTAGCACCCACTGCTCATGCCCCTCCCCACCCACAAACAGGTTAGCTCTACATTCCTGCCTTGGCATGAGGAGGGTAAAGAAGCACCAGGAAGCCTTACGCTGGAATAATCTGTGTCTCAAACAATATGACCACAGGCCAATTTGGTGTGGAGTAAAAGAAGTGGCCAGGATTCAGAGCCTGAAGACCAGAACTGGGTGGGCTTGGGAAAGTCACTTAATCTCTCTAGATCTCCAATTCTTCATTTTTTTTTCCAATTCAATTTAGAAATCTTTATACAATTTTCAGACATACACAAAAGAGAATAACAAAATTAATCTCCAGACACATCACCTACCTTCAACTGTTACCATTTCTTATCTAATCTCTTATACTTTTTTCTTCACTGGAATGTGTTAAAACAAATACTAGGCATTATAATTGATATACACTTTTTTTTTTCTCATTAAACTTCAATGGGCCTCAAAATCCTGTGACAAATTTTTGGTCAAGTTGTTCCCATTAAAAAGTACTGATTTTAAAAACTAATAACTTAAAACTGCCACAAGCAAAAAAGAAAACCAAAGTGGTCCACAAAACATTCTCCTTTCCTTCTGAAGGTTTTACGATGCATTGTTATCATTAACCAGTCTTTTACTACTAAATTTAAATGGCCAATTGAAACACAGTTCTGAGACCGTTCTTCCTCCACCACTGATTAAGACTGAGGTGGCAGGTATTAGGGATAATATTCATTTAGCCTTCTGAGCTTTCCGGGCAGACTTGGTGACCTTGCCAAGTCCTGCAGCCTTCTTGTGCACTGCTTGAGGACACCCACCGCAACTGTCTGTCTCATATCACGAACAGCAAAGTGACACAGAGCTGGACAGTCTGAGAAGCTCTCAACACGTATGGGCTTGCCAGGAACCATATCAATGATGGCACCATCACCGGACTTCAATAATTTAGGACCATCTTCCAGCCTTTTACCAGAAGAGCGATCAATCTTTTTCTTCAGCTCAGCAAACTTGCAGGCAGTGTGAGCCATGTGGCCCTCCAGTACAGGGGCATAGCCAGCGCTGATCTGGCCTGGATGGTTCAGGATTGCCACCTGAGCGGTGACGCCTGCTTCCATTGGTGGGTCGTTCTGGCTGTCACCAGCAACGTTGCCACAACGAACATCCGTGACAGACACATTCTTGACATTGAAGCCCACATTGTCCCCAGGAAGAGCTTCACTCAAAGCTTCATGGTGTATTTTGACAGATTTTACTTCAGTTGTAACGTTGACCGGAGCAAAGGTGACCACCATACCAGGTTTGAGAACACCAGTCTCCACTCGGCCAACAGGAACAGTACCAATGCCACCAATTTTATAGACATCCTGGAGAGGCAGGCGCAAGGGCTTGTCAGTTCGATGAGTTGGTGGTAGGATGCAGTCCAGAGCCTCAAGCAGCAGGTTCCACTGGCATTGCCATCCTTATGGGTGACTTTCCAACCCTTGGACCAAGGCATGTTAGCACTTGGCTCCAGCATGCTGTCACCATTCCAACCAGAAATTGGCATGAATGCTCCTGTGTCGGGGTTGTAGCCAATTTTCTTAATGTAAGTGCTGACTTCCTTAACGATTTCCTCGTATCTCTTCTGGCTGTCAGGTGGCTCAGTGGAGTCCGTTTTGTTAACACCAACAATCGTTTCGTGCCCAGGATGTAAGCCAGAAGGGCATGCTCTTGGGTCTGCCCATTCTAGGAGATACCAGCTTCGAATTCACCAACATCAGCCGCAACAATCAGGACAGCACGGTCAGCCTGAGATGTCCCTGTAATCATGTTTTTGATGAAGTCTCTGTGTCCTGGGGCATCAATGATAGTCATGTAGTACCTGCTGGTCTTAAATTTCTACAAGGAGGTAACAATGGTGATCCCATGTTCACGCTCAGCTTTCAGTTTATCCAAGACCCAGGCATACTTGAAGGAGCGCTTTCCCATCTCAGCAGCTTCCTTCTCAAATTTTTCAATGGTTCTTTTGTCGATGCCATCACATTTGTAGATTAGATGGCCAGTAATGGCAGACTTGCCCAAATCTACGTGTCCAATGATGACAATGTTGATATGAGACTTTGCCTTTCCCATTTTGGCATTTAGGGGTAGTTTTCATGACACCTGTGTTCTGGCGGCAAACCCGTTGTGAAAAAGTGATATACATTCTTAAAAGCAATTAATAACATGTACCAAAAGCTTTTGGCTTGGGAATTCCACTGCTGGGAATCTAAGGAAATAAACAAAAATGTAGAACGTATTTTATGCACTTAAATAACAGGAAAAAACTGAAAGCAACCTAAGTGTTCAAAAACTGGAGAAAATGCTAGTAGCCTTTGGTTTTTGCCTGCTCAGTGTTCCTTTAGTTCACATGATCACTCTTTTCTTGCAGGAGACCCCTTCTACATCCCCCCAGTCTCTGTGATTCTGATGGTGCTGAGTGAACACACAACTCCACGAGAAGACACATGACTCAGGTTTGGCCAAAGAGCGCACCCCATTTCCAGACACAGTGATTATTCGGGAACAGCTAGGTCCCAGATAGGAAGGACATAACCTCTTTGCTATAAGATTGCTAGCTGCAATCAAAACCAACATGGCAGAAAGAGGAGCCAGGAAACGAAGGCTGAGTTCTGAGTAATTCTTTTTGCTTAAATGACTTTGACTTGGGTTTCTTGTCACTAGCAACAGAGTCCCAATACAGACCATTATTTGGTGGCCTGCTTATATTGATCTGATGAAATATTCTGCAGCCATTCTCAGCCATCCTTGTGAATGGTTTCTAGGAACACAGTTGTTTATGATAAACTGAAAGCAGCATGATACACATCAGTAAACAGGATGATCTTGACTATGTTTAAACATTGCTCCCATGAAAACACACCCAAACTATTAGCAGCCATGCTGGTTGGTGAGGTTATGTTTCAAACTCCATTCTCCACATTTCCTATGCAAATGTCTTACAATAAATATTAACGAAAAAACTTAAAAATTCACGTTGATTTGCACCCCTCTTAATTCCAAAAGGAATCATAATTAAATCATAACTGTCTTCTCCATTGAAAATTCATAGAACATTCGGTTTTGAAGTGACAGTTTGGAATTCCCCTAAGAAACACTGACCAACCAGCATTACGCAAATTGGAGCATTATTTCCTCAGTACTAAAACTGAAAGCCATGCTGCACTGTAAGAAAGTAGTCTCCTTTGCAATTACTTTGTGATCTTCAGTCTAAATATTACTAAGAAGGGAATATCACATTAGCAATCTCCTCTGAATATCTGATGCATTTATTTCATTGAACCTGGTCTCATTTCATAAAGATTTTTCTCCACTCTTCCACATACCTGCCAAGGACTTTAAACCTGGACTAGAAGACAGAATACACTATGATTATTGGCCATGGTTGGTAAAGACAAATGGCCTTAACAGCTGAGCACAGATCGATGGTTAAGACAGCAACTGCCAAAGGCAGCTGTCTGGACTCTGTAGCTTCAGGTTTGTGAGCCACTCCCTTTCCGCCTTTATCTTTCTCTATCAGCTCCTGTCCTGCTCTCTGTGCCAAGGCTGACTCCTGCCCTCAACCTCAATCTGACACTCATCTCCTATCTGTTTGAGGCCAGGGATCTGTTCTTCTGCAGCAGGTGGGGTGCAACGAGACCAGAAGCCTGATGTAGAAGCACATGGTGTGGAGGGAGTGATAAACCCAGGAAAACCTAGCAGCAGCAGCAGCAGCAGCAGCAGCAAATCAGGCCTCTGTGTCTCCTCTTGCCCCTGCTAAGCTGCATTTACTCCAGCTCCTAATCCAGCCGAGGGCATTATTCCTAGGGGTTTAATTTGGCTGTGTAAGAAACCCGCACCTGCACAAAAAGTAGTCCACAGTGCCCCCTAGTGGCCAACTGGAATGTTAAGTGACATATTCTGCACATTCAATTATAAAAACAAAAATCTGCAGTGCCTGCTGTGAAACACTGGTTGACTTTACTAACTAGATCTTACCTGGATATCGATATGTATTTATGTAGTTCCAAATGCTGGAGAAAAAACTTAGTAAGTGGGTAAAGGGAGAAAACCAAATAGCTGCCCACAACCCAATTCTATCACAAGGTATACTGGCACCAAAATCCCTGAGGTAGAACCTGTGACAAAGGCTAGATTTCGTCCATGCCCAGAATTTTAGGACATAATGAGCTTTTTGCCAATTGGAAAGAGTAGTATGATTCACTTCAAGTTTTGGAGCAGCCAGTAATGGATTTAAGAGCATGCTATTTTGACAGCAGACAATAAAACAAAATGTAATAAATATTAATATATATGTTTAAGAAAATGAATCCGACACATTTCATTAAAATAATTGTTTTAATTATTGATGCTTTGAATAAGAAGTCCATTTTACTAAGTTTAGTATAAATTAGTTTTGTTAAACAGAAGCTGTTTGCTGGATCTCAGTTCACTTTGTAATTTTCAGACATAATGATTCATATTTATAACTTTTCTCTTTGCCATTTAAGGATTCACTGGCTTGATTCCTGACATTTCCTCTTTTAGAGGAATCTTATGTCATCTTCTGAAATCATGAATGTTGATAAGAATATTAGTGTCTTCTCTTCGGAAGATGTGATTCTTTTAATTCCATGTTCTCTTCCCTCTGGTGATGTGACTTAGATCGTAACAGCACTAGAAGTTATTAAGAGATTTGGAGCAGCTGAGGAAGCCTTAGGTAATTATTAAGAGTAGCAGTATTAAAAAAGCTGTGGAGTGGTTTGGGAGATTCTGTCCCCGGTTGAAGGTGGTCCATGCCTGGGTAACCTTTATTTATAAAAGAATACAAGGAACACACAAAATGTTCTTCTCTTTCTTTTGCAATCCAGTTTTGTGGCCAAAAATAATCTGTGTGCATACGTGTTTTGATAATATAGTCTCAACTTAGGTGGGGAAATTAAATTTGGGAGTTTTATGAATTTCTTTTGTTCTGGGTATCACTTTAGAGTATATAAAGTTTTTCAAAAAGTTCTTTAACAGAAATAGTTTCACTCTATGTTGGATTAACAATACCCAGGACTGTCAGACATAAATCAACATGAGTAGGAAGCTCCCTGTGAGATTCATCATTGCTTGTCTATCGTGGCAAGATTTATTCAGGTGCACCATAATGAGGCCAATCCTTCTGCACCAGGCTCAGGCAGCTCAGAAGGCAGCTGTGGCGAGTGACACCCTCTACCCAGCACAGTGACTTCCAGGAATAAAGAACACATACTCAAGTATTTTCAAATGCCAATGGGCAATTTAAATCTGGTACTCGTTCCTCTTCAAGGAGCACTAGTGGAAACATCTTTGGAATTGATGGGACAAAACTTATTTGATTACAGTGAAGGATATTTCTCTATGAAAATGGCTTCAAAATATGAAAAAAGTAGTAACCACATCTTTCAAGAAATCCAGTAACAGACCAACTCTATTTGCAAACAAACAGGCAAACAAACCAGCATGTGACAGAAAACTGGCTAACATTCTGGGATGCTTTCCAGAGAAACATTAAACCCTTTAAATGTGTATGAGCCACTTTAAGAAATTTCACAAGTGTTGTTAAATTCGCCACAGTCTGCTTCACCTAGAAAGGGGAACAGAGGAATTCTGTTAAACTGGGTTAACAAATATTAAAAATTAATTCATTCTAGGGAAGGACTAGATAAAATTTCTGATCTAAAAGTCTAAGATTCTGAGTTCATTTCAGCCACTAGAATATGTTAAAGAACGGCTTGGGCCGGGCGCGGTGGCTCAAGCCTGTAATCCTAGCACTTTGGGAGGCCGAGGCGGGTGGATCACGAGGTCAAGAGATCGAGACCATCCTGGTCAACATGGTGAAACCCCGTCTCTACTAAAACTACAAAAAATTAGCTGGGCATGGTGGCACGTGCCTGTAATCCCAGCTACTCAGGAGGCTGAGGCAGGAGAATTGCCTGAACCCAGGAGGCGGAGGTTGCGGTGAGCCGAGATCGCGCCATTGCACTCCAGCCTGGGTAACATGAGCGAAACTCTGTCTCAAAAAAAAAAAGAACGGCTTGGGTTTGTTAAAATGCAGATTCCCAAGTTCTGGTTTCAGTGGGTTGGGGGTGGGGCCTAGGATCCTCATTTTAGCAAGGAACCCTCCTCTCCAAGTAGGATTCTGACACACTTTGATAAACGCTAATGGGATGTAGCAAGAAGCAGGCCATTGCCAGGACTGCTGTTCTTATCTCATTTAAGAATATCTGAAGGTTTAAAAGACAAAAATAGTTGAGAAAGAAGGGGTCTTGAACCTTAGAGCAGAAGAGCAATGATTAGCCACTGCCCAGTGACACTGACCCCAGCTGGGAGGTGAACTTTCTCCCTTCCTGCTGCCACCGACCAGGAAATCCATCTCCAAGTATGGAGACTGAGCAAGTCTGTAATCCACAACCTTTTGTTACTTGTGTCTTTGCTAGGAAATATCTGGATGTGCACCAGAGGAGATAAAATGAGGCTTAGCACAAACATGCTGCTGCCCAGACTTAACAGTGGTCGGGAGCTACGCTTATAAGAACTGCTGTTCCAGGATGCCCGCAAATGCTTCATGTGGACATTTAAGCCTCCATTCAGCCTGCAAACATGCTCACAGGGGTCTTCACCCAACAGTCCAATGAAGCAAACCACATTTAGTTAAGCTCCCTATCAGCTCTCACAAGTGACAGTCTCCATCTGTGTGAAACAGATTTCAGATGCAGAGGGCTTTGTGGTATTTAGAGAAATAATACCTTCCAAAACTGATCTGTGCAAGCCACACAAAGTGGCTGCCAATTGAGGGAAGCTCCAGAACACCTGTGAGGCCCCTGTGAGTGGTTCCCCAAGAAGACGGGAGCCTTGGTCCTCAGAGACATTACTGTACACTCCCTGGATTATTAAGCAGCTCTGGTGGCATACCTAATGGGTTAGATTAGTGAAGGCACTCCTAGACTCAAAGATGGACAATTCCTAGCCATAGGCACCTGGTCAGACTGGGCAACTTTCAGGCACTGCTCATCCCTTGGGTTCTAGGGCACTGCCTCAGAAGGGTCACATCCTGCTCTAGTCTTTGGGGATCCTCTCAGGACAAGAAAAAAATATTCTCTTTTATCTCTGTGCTGCATAAAAGTGCTTCCTTGCTGCACAATAAAGTGGGAACCTCAAAAGTATCCGTTTTACTCACTTATTCAGTATGGAGACTTATGAGAAACCAGTTTTACTTTCTTATTAAACCGTGCCTTTCGGCACGTTTTTTATACAAAGATAACTGCGCTTCAGAGATTATATCCTGCAAAAGTCAACTTTAACTTCAAAGAGCAGGCCTGTCATTCTTAACAGTCGGCCTGATAATTTGTTGCTGGGGAATAAAGGTGTAATTGCTACCACTATATTCCTACGAAGTCAGATGGCCTTGCCAGCCCAGAAGACGATCAGTGGCCCGTGCCTTTCCCGCATGCACAGCAGCAAAACAAGCGCCAGGACTGTTGGAATCTTTATTCCAACAGAGTGTGAGAGTGTTTGTCTCAAGTAATAAGCTAGACAATCAATTCTAAACACCTGCTCTATGATACACACTGTCCTAGGCCCTGCTTGGAATTTTTAAAAATTAAAAACAAAACAAAACTGAGCTTTGCGTCAAGAAATTTACCATCATGGCAGGGAGTCAACAGTTCAACATGGAACTGTTCTACCACTGAAAAAGACACAGATTAAATAAATGCTAAGAATATAAGCACCCAAACGACCTACAACCTACAAGTCTACCTTAGGATCATCACCGTCATCCCTTGAATCAGCAGTCATTACAGGCAGAAAGTGCATGATAAAGTAGACTGAGCTAGGAGCCTGGCCAGCTACCCAAGAGGCAGCCAGAGAAGTACAACTGAAGTAGAGAAAACTGAAGTGATGGCTCTGGAGCAAGAATGCTGGAGTTTGAATCCCAGCACCACCACTTCCTGACTGCAAGACTTTAGGCCAGTTTTTTACTTCTCTGTGCATCAGCTTTCCATTTTACATATGAGGAAAAACAGGACCCACCTGTTGCAGTGGTAAGTTGCACAAGATATGGTTGTGGTGAGAACTGAATGAGTGAATATAAGAAAAAATAACCAGTAGAGCACTCAGCCAGTAATAAACACTCAATGGCCACTAGCTGTTATTGTTACTGTTGTCACCTCCCCAGGTATGCCAGAATTCCGTGTCACTTGGGAGAGGCACCGGTCCCTTATATTCCTTCATTTGAACCCTGATCTAACTCCAAAGATTCTGATCCCACTCTTCTTTCCTTTCTCTGTCTTCAGGTTTTGGGCTTCATTCTCTCACAGTCTCTTTTGTCTCTGCCTCCTCCCTTCCAAGCACTTCTTGGTGGAATAAACCACACATCCCCTCTGGCATTTGTAGTACTGGGGCTGATGGGACAGGGTAACTTGCTCAGGCTCAGATGAGGGGTATTCACTGTCCAGGAGCACCTGAGTCTAAGCCTCATGAGAAAATGCCATCATAGGTCCTAACTGGGCTCTGTCCAGGGCCCAACAAGCATAGCCTTAAAATGGAGTCTCAACCTGGTGTCCAGGCCTGTAGACAGAGTTCAGGGGGTCTATAAACTTGGCTCAAAATTTTTTCTTTTCATTTTCATTAGGCTCTAACTGAAATGTATCATTTCCTGCAATGATGAATGTAGGGAATAAACCACAGGGTGACAGTGTATCTGTGACTGTCTCCAACAGAAATAGAGAAATCACAGATACTTTCATATCCTGTTACAGGTGTTGCAAATGTCTTCAAATATTGTCTTCAATCCTCAGTACTTTGAAAGTACAGAAAAGGCCAGGCATGTTGGCTCACATCTGTAATCCTAGCACTCTGGGAAGCTAAAGCAGGCAGATTGTCTGAGCTCAGGAGTTCAAGACCAGCCTGTGCAACACGGCCAAAGCCTATCTTTACAAAAATATAAAAAACTAGCTGGGCGTGGTAGTGTGTGCCTGTAGTCCCAGCTGTTTGGGAGGCCTGAGGCACAGGAATCATTTGAACCCAGGAGGTAGAGGCTGCAGTGAGCTGAGATAGTGCCATTGCACTGCAGCCTGGGTGGCAGAGTGAGACTGCCTTGGGAAAAAAAAAAGTAATAGACTTATTACTAGATCTTATATTTAATATGTTAATAAACAAATTATTATACCACACATTTACAAATATTTTTATAAATGCATTTCATTATGAGATTGCACCACTGCACTCTGGTCTGGGAGACAGAGTGAGACTCTGTCTCAAAACAAAAAAGATCTATTCTTTCATTGTGAATAAGACGGTGTTCTGAAACCATCTGCCTTCCTGTAGGACAACTACTTACCTTGGTCACAGTTCCTGACAGCATTATGTGAGCACAAAGGGGACTTTGTGGATCAAATCCACGTTTAAAAACATTATTCTGAGAGGGGGTCAGTGGCTTTACCAGACTGCCACTGGCACATGAAACGGTTAAACCCCCCTTGCCTTAGAAGGCGGAGGATAGTTGTAAGGGCTGCAATCTTAGGTGAAAGATGTGTAAGTACTTACTGAACTGTGACATTATAATATTCTTCCGGTGTCACAATTTTTGGTCCACCAAAGTAGTCCAGGACCCAGATATTGGTTATATTCAACTTAGCAAAGAACCAATTATGGCTGGAAGGCCAGGTTTTCATCTCAGGGTGTCGAATGAATAACGACTGCTTTGCAATATCCACTTCTGTCTCATTCACCTAAAGGATATACGTGAAATAAACATTCTTATACACTTGATTCTCTCATTTGTTAAGAATGTGTGATTCCAGCATTCTATAAATCCTAAGAGTTTACTTAGCTGTAAATCTTGATCTTAACTTTAAGGAATCGAGAAAATAAAGGAAATGTAAAGAATGCAGAGAATAAAGATTTCATTTGTTGGTGGTAACAGACATAAAGATGTGGAAAACCACTGTAGGTATAATACCAACTTTCGCTGGTAAAAAGGCATTTTGAGCTATTAGAATAACCAGCACTAAGTACTAAAATAAAATGTCACTAGTGTCTAAGACATGTAAGGTTTACATAACATGCACATGTTAAACATACAGATGAAAGTACTGAACGATAATAATGTTCAGAAGTCACATAACAGAACTCAAAAGTATTTGCGGCTCCGCCACCTTTCTCCTGCCAGTGAAGGACACTCAACTACAGAGATGCATCCACCAAGAATTTCCAGACCATAAATAACACTTATCTGAGGCATTAATGATTGACACTGTCAAAAAGAAAATCTGCCGGTTGGGTAATCAGATCAGCACTCCTGACACCATGCCTACTGCTCTTCCTGAGACTGTATTTGACCTCTTCCCTCCAGCAGGTGATCCAAACTAAATTCACTTCCAGTTTTCAGTAACAAATAGTCCTCTGGTTGGCCTACTTAACACGTTTTCTCTGCTTTAAGCCACTGGTAAAATATGGAGACAATGAGCCCAGACATGAAAAACATCACACCAATGTAAAATGTAACGGAGAGGGAGGGCTCCGGTCAACCAGATGTTCCTCAGCAAGAATAATTTTACATACAGGAGCTCATAGTTGTTACAGCTGTTTGGCTTCAGAAAATCGTTCATTTTCCCTGTATCTTATTGAACACGCTTGTGAAAGCAACTTATTAAAATGTTTGGTTTTCACGGAATTACTTCACCTATTAGAATAGAACATGTTCTGACTGGTTATGGCAATCACAAACCAACCACATTTCACTCTCAAAAGATCTATTCTGCCAGGCACAGTGGCTCACACCTGTAATTCTAGCACTTTCAGAGGTCGAGGTTGGTGGATCACTTGAGGTCAGCAGGAGTTCAAGGCCAGCCTGGCCAACATGGTGAAACCCCATCTCTACTAAAAATACAAAAATTAGCCGGGTGTGGTGCTGTGTGCCTGTAATCGCAGCTACTAGGGAGGCTGAGGCATGACTCGCCTGAACTTAGGAGGCAGAAGTTGCAGTGAGCTGAGATAGCACTACTGCACTCTGATCTGGAAGACAGAGTAAGACTCTGTCTCAAAAGAAAAAAAGATCTATTCTTTCATTGTGAATAAGATGGTGTTCTGAAACCATCTCCCTTCCTGCAGGACAACTACTTACCTTGGTCACAGTTCCTGACAGCATTATGTGAGCACAAAGGGGACTTTGTGGATCAAATCCATGTTTTTTGCAGAAGTTGGTTTGTGCCAAAGTCATGGTCAGTGTAGCATATGGATTCTCCTGTAGAGAGAAAATGAAGATCCTCTCATGTGAAATACGGTTTCTGAAGAGGTCATAAATTTCAAAAGCTGCATACAGGGTGTCCTAGAGCTTGACCAGTCTTCCATGAAACGATGAATCGTAAAACATCACCTTCGACTCAGGAGAAAACAGTACTTAGATAGAGACTGATCCTGACTACTCCCCAAAGCCGGCGGGGGGGGGTTCATATTATAAAATTAACTGACTTGGTAAAAATTATTTCAACACACTTTTTCTAAAACCCTGAATTTATTCCATGTTCATCAGAAGAAGAAGAATTATAGTGCCACCCAAATTAAAGGCTGTTCTATAGGCTTCACTGACAGATTTAAAGGGTTAAACTCTAATATAAAACCACTGCATAAAAACACCAGTTGCTCAACTGACTAACTATATGGGTTAAGCAAGAAAGTAGCTGAATCATGCTTGGTTATCTTACGTTAGCAGAAATTGTCATGTGATTTCAAAACTGGAGAAGTTGTTCATTTCTGCTTTAGTAACAAAAAGTCTTCTCCCAGGTTCAAAAAGGCAAGCAAGTTCTTAATTCTTTCTTATTCAGAAAAAAGCTTCATAAGAGGCATTGTTGACAGATTACAGCAAAATTCACACGTTGCACTTTTAGACTATTTAGCTCTTTAAGTTCTAAGTGTCTTGTGTGGAGAATTTTGCCATTTCGCAGTGATCCATCAAAACAGAGTCATAGAGATTTCTTTGAAATCATTTAGCCAAATATAGTTACTGTCCAGAAACTATTAGCAAGGTACCACAGGAGACCAAAAAGTGGGAGGGGACACTCAGGTAAACTCTCTCCCCTCTGTGAGTTTATAATCTGGTTGAAAAGGAAGACATAAACAAAGAGCGTATGTCCAGTATAGGCTGGAGTGATAGAGAAACTATAAGGAGCTTTATAATATATTCAAAACCAGGATAGAAGGTGGGAGTACATACTAAAGGGAGAGGAGATGCTAACTGCAAAAAAACACAGAACTGGGTGAGTCTAAGACTTGATGAAGAATACCAAGAAACGCGATTTGCCGGAAAGAGGGGCTTTCCTAGGGGAGGAGGCTGGGGTTGGGAATGGAGAGGGCTCAAGCCCAAGCTAAAGAGTCTAGATTGTAATTTGCAGGCCAGCCTTTAGCAATGTTTTCAAAAACCACCTGCCTGGAGAGCTTGTTAAAATGCTGATTTGGGTTAAAATGTCGAAACAGGCTTCACTCCCAACCCAGATATCTGCAATTTTTTTTATTGCATTTTAGGTTTTGGGGTACATGTGAAGAACATACAAGATTGTTGCATAGGTACACACATGGCAGTGTGATTTGCTGCCTTCCTCCCCTTCACCTATATTTGGCATTTCTCCCCATGCTATCATTCCCCAACTCCCTACCCCCAATTTTTTTAAGACAGTGTCTCACTCTGTCACCCAGGCAGTCACCCAGTGCAGTGGCACAATCATGGCTCATTGTGGCTTCGACCTCCAGGGCTCATGTGATCCTCCCATCTCAGCCTCCCAAGCAGCTGGGACTATAGGTGTGTATCACCACACCCAGCTAATGGGCTAATGTTTTTTATTTTTTGTAGACATGGGGTTTCACTATGTTGCCCTGGCTAGTCTCAAAATGCTGGACTCAAGTGATCCTCCCTCCTTGGCCTTCCAAAGTGCTGGGATTACAGGCATGAGCCATCAAACTGTCCTCTACGTGCATTTTACTTATTTATTTAGAAATGGAGTCTAGCTTTGTCACCCAGGCTGGAGCACAATGGTGTGATCTCGGCTCACTGCACCTCTGCCTCCCAGGCTCAAAGGATGCTCTCACCCCAGCCTCCCAAATAGCTGGGACTACAGGGACACATCCAGCTAATTTATGTATTTTTAGTAGAAATGGGTTTCACCATGTTGGCCACCAGGCTGGTCTCAAAGGCCTGACCTCAGGTGATCTGCCCACCTCAGCCTCCCAAAGTGCTGGGATTACAGACTGGAGCCACCGCACCCTGCCTCTATCTGCATTTTAAACAAATATCTCAGATGACTCTTACATAGCTGTAGGCAGTTGGGTGTTGTTAAAGCTTTCCAGCCAGAGTGACAGATATTTTTGTTTACCTAATTGGGTAAGCAAGGCGGATGGGGCCAACAGGAAGACTATGTAAGAGATGTGCTAGTACTTTTGGGCATGAGGTGATAAGCTTCAGGACGAGGTGGCAGGAATAAAGAGAAAGGGGCAAGGGCGGAGGCAAAGAAGGCAACAGAAAACTGTCAGGACTTGGGAACTGAAGGATTTGAGGAGGCAGTGAGAATTCCAACTGGGTTTACTGAGAAAACAATAATTCCATTAACAGAAATGGAGAAGATCAAAAGCAGCTGGTTTCAGAAGGAGGACTGGACTTAAACGTGTTGAATTTGAGGCGGTGGCAAACTAATGAAGTACAAACGAACAGCAAGCAGAAATACAGAGAACTTTAAAGAGGTCAGAAATGGACACACATTTGGAAGTGAGTCCTGGAAAGTGGGAATGAAGAGATGAGTGTGTATACAATCTTCTGAGGATTATTACAGAGAACAAAAGAGTAGGAAATTGACTTTGAGGAATACTTATGTTAACGGGTCAGAGAAAAAAAATCAAGAGTGACCAGAGCAGAAAGGGGTACATCACAAGTAAAGAATGCCAAGACAGAAGAAAGGCTAATGGTAAGAGGTCTTGGTGAAAATAATCAAACACCAAGATTTCCCTTCTGACTCGTTCGCTCTGCAGCCAAACATGGTCCTACTACTAGCTAACATCAGCAACACTGTCCTACAGACATTTACTATATAAAAATGCCACAAGGAGACATACAAAAGAAACATCCCAGTGGTAAGTACATTTGAAGCTCACAACCTAAGTTACAAGGGACACACATTTTACACGTGAGATATAGTCCCAAACTTAGGTCTTCTTGTTTCTTCTGAACAATTTCACCCCGTCAATGAGAAGAAATGCAGAGCACTCTGGAGGTCAGGAGGAAGAAAAGAAGAAAGCAGAAACTCTGACTGGCTAATTGATGGAATCAAGTCAGACCAATTCTGATGTGGCCACATTTTTCACTGCCATCATGGAAACCGGAAGCCCTGGGTAAGTTCCTTGCCACTCTATTTCTAGAAACATCAAACACCTGGGCTGGAGTACTACCTGACAGCCATTAGGTGAGTCCCTGCACCTCTGAGTCTGTTTCCTCACTGCTGAAATGGGGACAATAATACCAGCAACTCCTTAGTCACCTCACAAATTTAAATATGATTATGTACTGCTTAATCACCCTCCTCCCTTCTTAGAATCATCAGGGAGTGGTTTGTGGGGGGAAGGAGTGTTGTCTTAAAACACGTCTTTGATAAAATGTCTTGGCACTGCATTTTTAAAGTCTTCTTAGGTAACTATGATTTGCAGTCAAAGTTGAGACCACTGATGGAGTGGAATGAGCCTGCCTTGAGAAAATGTCTAAAGGTGTGGAATAGGCTGGGAATAAGAAAATGGTGAACTGGGGTGTATCTGCCTTAGCTAAAAGAGGGCACTGCTTCTGTTTTTGCTCAGAGAATGCAGGCCCACAGTGTCACTGGATATTCCCATTTTTTAAGAAAAGTTAGAGATTTAGACTTTAAGGTAAAATCTAAATTTTAAAATGTTGGTAACGAATTCACATTTATTAAAAACAAAACAGAACTGTGTGTGGGCCAAATAAAACTGGTCTGTGGGACATACTCAGCTGACGAGCCGCCAGCCTGTGATACGCGGTTTGAAGAAAGATAAACCTGGGATAAAACTAGGGTTGCCTGCTGGCTTTGAACAAGTTACTTAACCTAGGTAGGCCTCAAGTTCGTCTGCAGAATGGGGATGATAATACCTACTTCAAAGAATTATTAGAAGAGACAATGAATATAAGGTGAATGGAAAAGTGATTAAAAGCATCAGTTTCTTACAACCTGTCTTTATCAACAATGTTGTACTTTCACAGTTGACCTAAAATCTGAGATTATTGTCAAAAAGGCCCTCCACCAAATCAGGCTCCATTCCTGGACTCTCTGTGTCTCCAGCCTCCCAAGCCTCGTGTCTGTGACTCCATCTCTGAGACAGCAGAGGTCCACCAGAGTTATAAGTGTGGCTCTGCACCAGAAGGTGGGCAAAGGGCGAGGACGAGATAGACCTTCAATCAGCTCTGCACCTTACTGAGGACCTACTGTGCTTGTGGAGGCCTAAAGATTGCAATAATCATCGTAATCGTCCACGATATCGTACGTTAGCTTCCTGCAGCAGGAGAGAAAAGTCTTAATTCAGGAGGGGTAAGAGAGAAACCCTGAAGTCACATATTAAAATACTTAAATACCCAACAATCTTTATGCCCTGTAAAACCTTTAAGAATAGGAGCCAGGCTGGGCGCAGCGGTTCACGACTGTAATCCCAGCACTTTGGGGGACCGAGGTGGGTGGATCACTTGAGGTCAGGAGTTCGAGACCAGCCTGGCCAACATGCTACAAAAATTAGCCAGGTGTGGTGGTGCGCACCTGTAATCCCAGCTACTCGGGGAAGCTGAGGCACGAGAATCGCTTAAACCCGGGAGGCGGAGGTTGCAGTGAACCGAGATACACATTACACTCCAGCCTGGGCAACAAGGGAGACTCTGCCTCAAAAAAAAAAAAAGAGGAAAAAAAAAGGAGCCCAGTTAATGGAGACACTGTACCCCAAGACGACTCACGACCACTCAGGGATGAGAAGTCCTGGGGCTACTGGCAGAGAATTTACCCCAGGTGCGTGGCCCAGTGGCGGGGGCATGTGCGAAATTCCTGGTAGTTGCCCAACATCTGGGACGCTGCAACGCCCGCCCGCCCGCCAGCTCGGCGGAGAAGCGACAGCCATCCCACTTCCCAGGAAGGATCTTGGCGAGGGTGAAGGCTCTCTCTGCGGCCGGCCTGGGGAAGCCGCGGGCTGCGCTCACCTGCAGGTTGCTCACGGAAAGCTGCAGCGGGCTCAGGTAGAAATAGGGCACGCCGCTGCCCGCGCCCGGGGGCCCGTCGCTGAGAGAGAGGACGTCGGAGAAGGGCCGGCCGCGCACCGCCTCCAGCGTGGAGATGGTGGCGAGCGCGCCCCAGTCGCAGACGTGCGTCACGAAGCGGGCCACGCGCGCCGCGTCCTCGCGTGGTGGCAGCGGCGGCAGCCGCGAGGCCTCGTCCCAGTCCCCGTGGTCCCGGCCGCCGCGACCCCGCGCGGGCGACACAAGTAGCGCCAACAGCGCCGACGCCAGCAGGGCGGCGAGGAGGGCGCGCGCAGACCAGCGGGTTCGCCCAGCCATATCGGCGTCTCCAACCAGAGGCCGGGCCCGCGACCTCCAGCGGCCTAGCGTGAGCCCGGCGCGCCCAGGCCCCGTCCCTCCGCGAGGCGCCAATCAGAGCTGAACACAATGCAGGGGGCGGGGCCCCTCAGCTGCTCCGCAGCCTGCAGGAGATGCGATTGGTTCATCCGCCGTCGCTCCGCCCGCCCTCTTTAAGGGGTGTGAGTTTGTCCTAAATGGGATGTTTGTTTTGTTTGGCAGGCGGAAAAAGAAAGGCTTGAAGAAATTCGAGCAACTTGCCCGAGTCGTACCGCTAGGAAAAGACCAGCCTCTTTACACAGGCACACACCCCTCCTTTTAATACCTTTGGAGATGAATATCTGGCATCCGAGAGGAAATGCTGCATTTTCTTCCCGCGCGCCCCTTTTCTGTTGAATTTTGTAAGGTCTGACCGTGCGGTGGCGTGGCGATCTCGAACCGCATCTCTGGAGGGCCTTCCGCAATTAGAAAACCTGAAGTAGCTGGAAAGTCGTGAAAAGAGGAAGAAATGATCACCCCCTGCGGCGCCTACATAACTTTAAGACATTCTGTATTGTTTCTTATTCCGTCCTCAATTGACAAGGGCATTGGACTTTGTAACTGACCTCGGCCAACCTCGAGGCTCCACACTCTACGACCCCCTCCCAGCTTGCAAAAAACCGCCCTAAAGTAACTTTTGTAGCTTTCCACTTCCTTCCCCACAACCGCCCTTCGCTGACGCCCTTTTCGGCTTCAGGCCGCCTGCACCCAGGTGAATAAACAGCCATGTTGCTCACACAAAGCCTGTTTGTGGGGGAGGGAGGGTCTCTTCATTCAGTGCGCGCGTTTTAACAAATTTACCATCCGCCGGGCGCGGTGGCTCACGCCTGTAATCCCAGCACTTTGGGAGGCCGAGGCGGGTGGATCACAAGGTCAGGAGATCGAGACCATCCTGGCTAACAAGGCGAAACTCTGTCTCTATTAAAAAGTACAAAAATTAGCTGGGCATGGTGGCATGCGCCTGTAGTCCCAGCTACTCGGGAGGCTGAGGCAGGAGAATCGCTTGAACCCGAGAGGCGGAGGTAGCAATGAGCCGAGATTGCGCCATTGCACTCCAGCCTGGGCGACAGAGCAAGACTCCATCTCAAAAAAAAAAAAAAAATTACCATCAGCACCAAAGAACAGCGAGGGTCCCAGCGTTGCAGAAGCCCAGACTCAGGGTCGTGTACCCCTTGTGTAGCTGATGCCTAACACTGACATATAAGTGCTTGGAAATCAAGGTTTATTTGATTTGGCCAAAGCGAGAAGCCTGGAGGGCAAGATCTCTCAAATCCGCCTTAAAAAAAGGAGCAGCAGAGAGTGTTTATGTGGCCACAGTCAGTGAGGGGGAGTTTCAAAAAATCAAGAGGAAAAAAATCTGTGTTTCTTCAGTCTCAGATAATTCCTTGAACAATCAGACTTCTGGGCGTCAGAAGCTGGCCTCAGTGTATTTCAAAGGATTTATTCCTCCTGCAAACTTTTTTCATAATCCTGAAGTCATCTCCTCCTGCTTGACAAAGAAACAGTACATCAACAGTTTATGATTATGTTGTAAGAACAGAGGATATTGGGCAAAAAGAGAGTTGTTAACACGTGCAAGCAAGGGCCTGATCAGAATTTTATTATTTCAGTCACTAACAAATGCTGGGGTGCTGAAATCTCAGGAGCCCAGTTACACCAGTAGTCAAGTTAGGCAGAAACCCAAAAGTTCAAGACCTTTAAAAAAAACTTTTTATTCACTTATTTTTAAATTTTTAATTTTTGTGGGTACACAGTAGGTGTATACATTTATGGGGTATATGAGATATTCTGTGACAGTCCTACAATGCATAATATTCATATCAGGGTAAATAGGGTATCCATCACCTCAAGTATTTATCCTTTGTGTTACAAACAATCCAATTATACTTTTTAAATGTACACTTAAATTATTATTGACTATAGTCACCCTGTTGTGCTATCAAATACTGGGTCTTATTCCAATGATTTTTTTGTACACATTAACTACGCGTACTCCTCCCCTGAAAGTGTCCCCCTTCCCTACTGCTACCCTTCCTGGCCTCTGGTAACCATCCCTCTACTCTTTATCTCCATGAATTCAATTGTATCCATTTTTAGCTCCCACAAATAAGTGAAGACATGTGAAGTTTGTCTTTCTGTGCCTGGCTTATTTCACTTCACTTAATAACCTCCAGTTCCAACCATATTGTTGCAGATGACAGACAGGATGCCATTTGTTTTTTATGGCTGAATAGTATTCCACTGTGTATACATACCACATTTTCTTTATCCATTCATCTGCTGATGGACACTTAGGTTGCTTCCAAATCTTGGCTATTGTGAATAGTGCTGCAATAAACACAGGAGTACAGACATCTCTCAATATACTGATTTTCTTTCTTTTGGAGATATACCTAGATGTGGGATTGCTGGATCATATGGTACCTCTATTTTTAGTTTTTTGAGGAACCTCCCTACTGTTCTCCATAGCGGTTATACTAATTTACATCCCCACCAACAGTGTACAAGTGTTCTCCTTTTTCCACATCCTCGCTAGCATTTGTTATTGCCTATCAAAACCTTTTAAACTACTGGCCCAGGAGTTCCTCATATAGAGACACTAAAGGATTGTTAGTCTACCATCAGTATTCCACGCACACATTTGAACTTACCAGTTCAGGCCCTGTTAAGACATTAAGCTTGGGGTCAGTGGTTTCATGAATTTATCACCCTTGCTGCCTTTCCGTGCTCCATGTAAGGGACATTCCTTTTGCTTCTTCTAAAATGACCTACCTCATTCTTTCACGGGTGCTCCTCATTCTGCTATTTTGGAAATTGGTAAATAAACTCATAGCACCTGGTCTCCGTTCTTTATGACTTTAAGCTTTGGTCACATCTTTTTGGAGGAAGTCTTAATGTTTTTGACCTGGCCTCAAATTTCCACTGTAATGGTTGTTATAAAGATTGTATGGTGGTGTTCGTGCAGGAGTCTGTCATCTTGTAAAGCCGGCTCTGGCAGACACCTGGCCCTGCGAGGCTGAGTTGTGTAACACAGGTGAAATAATTTCACTCAGCTACTATTAGCCAGTCATGTGAGCAGCTGTGGTCAACAGCTGTGTGAGCCAAAGTCCCACTGCTACTTCCTGTCTTAAACCCAGCCTCCTAATATGCAGCCAACTTCTCAGGCTACTCAGTAGGCACTTGAATATCAGAAGCAAGATCATCTACTCTGAATAGGAGACTTCAGTGCCCTCTGGTGGCCAAATGAAGTTACACACCCTGATTTCTACATTCAGGTAAGAAGGACTTTTAAGGTTGGTTTGCTTTATAACAGCCGAATTTGGAAGAACTTCAAGATAGATGGAAAACTAAGTGGAGAAATTCAAAAGGAGAAACATTGGGTGTAGGGCTGAGGGCCCCACAGGGTCGTGGGGTGAGCCTTATGCGGTGCTGAGGCGCAGGATCCGAGAAATAAAGAGACAGGACACAGAAGTACAAGGAAAACACAGCCGGGCTTGGGGGGCCATGCCACCTATGAGCAGAGTCAGGCGAGGCCCTGAATGTCCAGAAGCGTGAGTATTTATTGTGTATAGGTTAGGGGGCAGGGCAGTGAGTGAAATCATCTTTAAGGATAGTGATAGGGTCATGAGCAATAAAACATGGGGTCCACCCCCTTCACCTACGCCAGGAGGTGGACAGTGCGTAGCAAGGGGCCTTTTCCCATGAAGGCCAGGGCCGTGTGCAGTAAGGGGTCCACCCCCATTAGGTCACTGAGGCTTGAAGGTGGGCCGTGTGCAGTGAAGAGGGTGCAGTGTGCAATACTTCTATCTATGGACAAACTACTTCTAAGATTTATAGGAGGATGCTTTAAGTCACATAGCAGTGACACAGCTGTCAAGGTTACCACCACCTTCTGGCAGCTTCCAATGGGTTGTATGGGAAGATGTTTTTCAAGCAGCACAGTAGCAAGAGCTGATAAAGTTCACAGTCACCAAGGTGGATTGCCGTTCTGAGGGCAGCCTTCCACAAGAACTGGAGCAAGGTCCTACAACTCCTTTATCAGGAGGAGTGGCTCTTGCCCCAAGCCTGCCATACAGTGGGTATCTTTACAATACTGAACGCTGCTGCCTGGGCCATGGATTCTTGTCCTGGTATAAATGTTTGTCCCTTAAATCATGCTCTGCACTGTGTCTGCTCTAGGCATTCCTCCGATTATAAGCTGCTTATTCCTTAATTCATGCTCTGTACTGTGTCCACTCTAGGCATTCCTCTGATTATAAACTAAGATATAATTATAGATACATATGTAGGGAAATATTCTTTAGGCACTCATACTATCAACTGTTATATGATTATATATAGAGGATTATATAAAGGGATTCTTCAAGCCCTATTTCTATAAACTAATATATGATTATGTAAAGGATTATATAAAAGGAAATAGCTGAGTAGTAACACTATAAAGTAAGATATTCCTCAAGCCCTAACTGTGCCAGGTTTCTGCTTAGCTCTCATTCCTCGGTGCCTATATGGGGGGTTACTCACAATTGGGTTCATCATTTAAAAACCAAATTATTAATACAAATAGTTTGAATACCTGCCAATTATAAACATTTCATCCTTTACCTTTTAAGAAAAGAATACACTCACATTTGGAGTTCTAATCTCAGGTCTGCCATTATCGTGCCACGTGACCATGTGATTTTATCTTACCTTTGGGCCTCAATATTTTCATCTAAAATGAGGAGTTGGATTAGATGATAGTAATATCTGATGCCTCTTCTAGCCTTGTATCTTCTTTTTCCTTGTGATTGTTTTTGTTTGTTTGTTTGTTTGTTTTTCTTTTCTTTTTTTGAGACAAGGTCTTGCTCTGTCACCCAGGCTGCAGTGCAGTGGTGGCTCATAGCTCACTGCAGCCTCAAACTCCTGGGCTCAAGTGATCCTCCCTCAAGTGATCCTCCCTCCTCAACCTCCCATATAGCTAGGACTAAAGGTGTGCACCACCACACCTGGCTAATTTTTAATTTTTTGTAGAGATGGAGTCTTATATGCTGCCCACGCTGGCCTTGAACTTCTGGCTTCAATTGATTCTCCCACTTCAGTCTCCCAAAGTGCTGGGATTATAGGTATAAGCCACTATGCCTGGCCTTATTTTTCTATTAATATGCAAAATATGAGCCTTTTGTAAGTTTCACAGTGTGAATTTTTTTGCAAGAAGATGAAAAAAATTTATTTATTGCTACACCATGTATTGCTGGCATACAAAATAGCAATAGACCCTATTACAGCTCTATTACAAAACAGGTGCCTAGAATTTGGTCTCAGGTATCAGGGCATGAGAATGAGGTCTACAAACCCTCCAGAGCATGAGAATGAGGTCTACAAACCCTCCAGCTTTAAGTATGCCACTCAGTATCTGTCTTTGTGTTTGCTGGTTCCTATGCTCAAAATGCTCTTCACTCAACTGCTGGCATGGCTGCCTCACTCCCACGGGGACCTCCACTTAGATGTCACTCCTCAGCGGTGACTCTTTCTGAGAGGCCTTCTCCAGTTACTCTCCATCAGCCAACTCTATTTCTTTCATAGCAATCATTGGCTGGGCACGGTGGCTCATGCCTGTAATCCCAGCACTTTGGGAGGCCGAGGCGGGTGGCTCACTTGTGGTGAGGAGATGGAGACAAGCCTGGACAACATGGTGAAACTCCATCTCTACTAAAAATACAAAAATTAGCTGGACGTGGTGATGCACGCCTATAGTCCCAGCTTCTCGGGAGGCTGAGGCAAGAGAATCTCTTGAACCCAGGAGGCGGAGGTTTCAGTGAGCCAAAATTTCACCACTGCACTCTAGCCTGGTGACAGAGCGAGACTCCATCTCAAAGAAAAAACAAAAAACAAAACAAAGAAATCATTAATTCATAACAAAAATAAATACTATAATAACAGCATTTGTTTTTTTTTAAGCTACATGTTAATTGTCTCTACTGGTAGAATGGGAGCTCCGGGAGAGCAGGAATGTTGTCTGTCTGTCCACCTCTGTATTCCCAATGCACAGAGTGGGCACTACATACCTTTTTGTTGAATGACTGCCTGACAGTGAATAATATTTGGTAAAATTCTTTGCACATAGAGCTGTATAAAATCAACAGGAAGTGAGGATGACTAAATTAGCATAAGCTAACAACCAGATACTCCAGCTTTTGCTTAGCAAATCCTCCTCATCAGGATATTAGGGGAAGCCCTTAGCCGGGAGTGGCTGAAATCGTCATTCCAGATCCTGCTGCTTCTCATCCTGACTTTATGTTTTTATTTGAACACCCTACACTGGTCTCCATCCCCACAGGCCCACGGTGGAATAGTTATCTTTTCCTTATGTCTAGGTGTGATGCTTGTGAAGAACCCACCCTGCAAACTCCTTTTTTCGCATGGTGTTGCCCTTGTTTATTTGTCTAGGTTGCCACCGGTTCCTTCTAGGTTAGAAGCAGTGGCTTTGTCCTCTCTGTCTCCCAGCACCAAGCACAGATCCAGGCATCTAGTAGGTACCCATTACATGTTATTGACAAGTGAATTGCATCAGAACAGTCACACCAAAAGCAGAGGGTGCTCAGGCTGTCTGCAGTCACTCAGTCTTTAGTCTTTAAAGAAGAGGAACTTCTCCTTTGTGGCATGCATTCTTCAAATAGTGGACAGCTGGCAAAGTAGTGAAGAGAGTTAGCTCTGGCATTAGCCACTTAAGCATGACCTTACATAGGATGATGCTGAACCACAATTTCCCTGTCATCAAAATCATAGCCTCCTTCACTGGGTTTTTATGGGGATTATATGAGAATGCATTTAAAATATCCAGTATAGTGCCTGGAACAGAATAGATGCTCAGTAATTGTTATTTATGTGTAATTGTTAGCTTTTTTCCCATTCTTTCTTTTTTTTTTTTTTTTTTTTTTTTGAGACAGAGTCTTTCTCTGTCACCCAGGCTGGAGTACAGTGGTATGATCTTGGCTCACTGCAATCCCTGCCTCCCGGGCTCAAGTAATCCTCCCACCTCAGCCTCCCAAGTAGCTGAGACTACAGGCGTGTGCCACCACGCCCGGCTAATTTTTATATTCTTTTTTGTAGAGATGCGGTTTTGCTAAGTTGCCGAGGCTGGTCTCGAACTCCCAGGCTCAAGTGATCTGCCTGACTCAGCTTCTCAAAGTGCTGGGATTACAGGATGAAATGAGAAACCCATTTTTATGAGAAAAAACATCTATGTTGTTTAGGCCACTGTAATTTTTCTGTCATATGCAGCCAAATCTAATCCAAACTGATCTAATGGCTTTAGTTTATCTACTCTAAAATCAAACAATTTGGCAGACATCCTTTAACATAAATTGGCTTTAGCAGCAATTCTATACAGCAGGCCAAAACATTAAAACGTTCATTTACTCAGGAACACAATTCCAAACTGATTTGTCCTAGAGGGTTTACCAGGAAACTATTGTAAAAAATAAAAAAGAAAGAAAGAAACCTTAGGCAAATTAGATTTAACAGAGTTTAATTCAGCAAAGAATGATTTGCGAATCTGACAGCCTCCCAAGCCAGAGTGGGCTCCGAGACTCCAGCACTACCACGTGATGGAAGATTTATAGACAGAAAAAGGAAAGTGACCTGCAAAAAAAGGAAGTGAGGGACAAAACTGCCAGATTGGTTATAGCTCAGTGTTCGCCCCATTTGAACACGGTTCAAACAGTTGGCCACCTTTGATTGGCCAAAACTTGGTGATTGGCACAAGACTAGGCTACAGTCTACAGTCTGTTTATAAGTCCATTTAGGTTATAGTTCACAATGTATAGCGAAACCTTTAGGCCAAACTTAAGATATTTATATGTAAGGAGGTAACTTTAGGCTAAACTTGTTTAAATACTACATTTTAAAATTAAGGTGTTTTACTGAGAGATGTTTTTCCAAGTGAGCAATCCTGAGCATCTGCTTTGAATTTTTTCCCCAGCAGTGTGCCCTGTCCCAGTTGTTTCTTGAGTGATTGTTTAAAATGCAGATTCATTGGCCTACTTTAGAACAATGGAATAAAAATCCATAGAGAGGTTCATGGGACTCTGCATTTTTAA